CAAAAAAGACTGAGGGGCACCACAAGTCTCATTTAAGGAAGGAGCCACTGAAATCTGACCCTCGGTCCTGACAAGGACCAAATTACTTCGTTAGTTGGTAGCCTTCGAAGTCACGTGGATGAATTTCACAGAAATCAACGTCAATTCCTATTTGCTCGCTCATGCACCTGCTGTCTATCCGGGAACGTCCGTCGAAGGAAAATGAGGTTTAATGTAGTGGGTGATGTTACGTTAGGGCGCGCACATTTTAGTGGTTCATGTCAGTCACAAAGACCTCATTGTGGATATTTTGTGGCGCCTTAGTAATATTTTAGCTGTTGTGCGCCTGACGCGCACAGGCCCTGTAATATGGGCATATAAATTAGAATTATATTAGGTTGCTACTAAAAACACCACAGTAACAGTTAAAGATACTTATTAATTCTTCAATAAGTGCTAATAACGCAGGTTATCCCCGAAGGCGTACTAATAAGATTGGGCTGTCGTACAGTGTGGTCTCTAGAGTCTACTTCACTCAGAAGCAGCATCAAAAAGCTGAACGAATAGATGCTATAATAAGGCGTGTTTTGTTTTGGGAAAAGGACGTGAATTGTGGCTTATAGAGGAGAATATAAGAGTTCCAGGCAGCAGTTAGAAGAAGATGCGATCACTGGAACAAGGACTTTATTTTCCTGACGTTTCGGAACACGTATCTTGACCATAATTAAACGAACCTCGTATGATAAATAAGAACAGAACAAAGAAGATGCGATCACTGGAACAAGGACTTTATTTTCCTGACGTTTCGGATTCTCTCCGGAATCCGAAACGTCAGGAAAATAAAGTCCTTGTTCCAGTGATCGCATCTTTTTGCGCATGTTTCAGACTGTTCTTCGATTACCTATGATTAAGGATTCCCGAGGGGTAAATGTCAGGAAAATAAAGTCCTTGTTCCAGTGATCGCATCTTCTTCTTCGGAATTGTGGCTTACTTGAACTTGGGCTTATTCAATGATAAAGGGACGGATTAATGGCTCTGGCTACTATTTAGATTTCACTAGTTTCCAAAGCCAACCGTGCCAAATTGTCGCAATAAAGCAATTTCTGGGAGAAATTGATGTAAAGTAGCGTTGACGCACTGTTGCCAACCTTACCTGCTGGAAGATAGGAATTCAGAACTCTCCACTTATATTGTCGATA